TTTTGTCATCCTCACTGATCACTATCATTTGTAATCAACAGCGAGTCTTTCTTCTCTAGCTCTTCTATCTTCTGCATCGAACCCTCATTCATTTGCTTGAGGTTTTCAGCATTATTTTTAGTGCTTGACCTGCAAATTTCAGAAATACATGGGTGAGAGGGACGTAAAACAATGTATATCAAACATCTAAGATCTGATGGGACCTACACATGAATGCTTAATTCACTGGCTCTGTACGCTCTTGGTGAAAGACCATAAAGGTCTATCATTGCTACAGGCTCATTTTCAATTATGTTATCAAGTTTTGAAATTTCAGGATTGAATTCAGCTTTGACTTGATCTTCAATCTTCAGGATTTCCTCACTACTGCTCATAATATCAGCAGATATTTTATCTATGTGCTGAAAATGAATTCAACCATAGAAAAAACAACACATGTTTTAGAAATGAAAATTAAACACATTATATGGTTTCTTACATAGCGGTCAGCTGCAGTTAGAAAACGATTGGACAAAATTGCTACATCACGATCTAACTGGTCCCTTACAAAAAATAAGTAAAAATTGGTTAGTAAAAAGGTATAGTCAGCCCAGCGTTACTTTGGTCTTTGGGTTGCAGGGCAATGCCATTGCTCCTTATGACAACCGAAGACCGAAGTATCACTGGGACGACTTTAAAAAAGGAAAACTTCTTAGGGTGAAGTACTAACAAGATGGAAAATCGTTGTTCTAGGAAATCTTCTATTTCTGAATTTAGTTTTTCCACTAACTCTAATTGTGATTTATGTTTGGTTTCTGCTAGCCCTTTTTTACTTTTCAGTTCAGCACCATTTAAATCCTGTGTTTGACGTTCAGCTAGAATATTAAAAAAAAACAAGAAAAAAAAAAAACAGTACATTAGGTCCATATGTTATGTTGTGTTACTCCAATTTTCAGAGATAGATGTTCAATTCTGACACTAACTTGCTAGAGCTCCTATCAGTAATCCGTTCTGCATTATCTCGGTTTTGAAGGATGTAACCTGTGACGAGAGTTGAGAGTTCTCGTCTTTAAGCTTTGACATCATGGTATCCTATAAAATATAGAGTAGAATCAGATTTTCGACCCGGCGCGGCGGCGACCAATACGAAGATCATAGGGAGCACTTACAAAGTCTTCACCCACAGCACCCCAACTTATGTGTCCAGATTCATGAATATTTGCGCCCATCTTGATAAACCTAGGAATTAGTTGAACAGGCGATGTTGAGAGCAGTTCTCTAAGGCACAACTTAAACAGCGTGAGTATGGCCGTTAGGTTTTGATCAAGATCAAGCTTTGATCTCTCCTCTCTCGTCTTCGAACCACAGAAGTAACCGTCGGCCGGAAACACTGTCCAGCGCGCCGAAGCAGAGCAGAACTGCCACAAGACCGAGACAACAAATTAGGAGCAGGTTAAATTTTGCGCATAGTTAGCAGAATCAATATGTAGGCACGCACGCATAAAAAACACTCTAAAGTAATTTAAAATTATTTCCTTCCTGTCAGAATGGTACATGAAGTACGTATATATCGACGAGTAACTCCGTACCGTTGGCACAGTTGTCATATCATAGTTCTTGCAATGTGTGAGTGTGTGTGACAGTGTTAGTGTGTTTGTGTCAGTGCATCGCGTCAGAAGTGTACATGTTGCATGTGTGTGTGTGTCTACGCGCGTGTGTGAGAGAGTGGGTGTGTTGTGTGCGTATGGAGGGTGGCCGAGCAGTGTGTGTGCATTGCCTCGGACGCGACGGTTTTCATTGCTTTGATTTCCGAGAAATGTCTGAAAGGTCATGCAAGCTGCTCGGCAGCTTGTGAGAAGTCCAACAAACAGTGATCCATGCGGATACTTTATGACAACACATCAAATCTTGTCAGTGTCGTCTGCTGAACTGACCTACTGTATCGTGCTATGAAACTTGTTAATTGTGTGTCAATTCAAGCTTAAGTAGTCTTTGTCTACATTCAATTGACACAATGGAAAACCAAAACAGCAGAGTTATTGGTTACTATGTGACTGAAAAGAAGAATGCTAAAATGAACTGGTCAGAATTCGGTAACGTGTGCAGGTTAGTTGTTTACATCTCTGGTTCTTGCACTTTAGCTGTTCTAATAGTTTGAACGCGTGTTAGTTTCCAATGTCAGTCAAAATGAAATTACAATTCTCTTCCTGGTGTGTCACCTTTTCTAGAGATTAGCCAGAGGTCTTCTGTTCAATGTTTCACTAAAAATTTAACCTAGTGCTGAAATATGACTCCATAATGCGCTTATTTCATAAGTACATTTTATACACCTTTCACCAATATCACATAGTAGTTGATTAGCTTACTGATTTTTTATGAAGGTCTCTGTAGCTTTAATTGAAGGTCATTATTTGATGACCTCCCAAAAGACTTTTATTAGTGTCCATCTGACTGGTAGTACTTTATTTGGTACACAATTTTAGGAGTTGCAGGGTTTTGGAATTCTTATTGAAGGTAGCACATCATACCCATAACTGATGTTAAATTCCTCCCTATTCCCGGATCTTCTGCCCTTCCCCAGTGAAATAAAAACTAATCTTTCTTTAATTTTTGTTTTATTTCTCAGAAATCATGGCTTTTCTTTGATGAAGGTCAGTACATAGTTTTATATCTCAATTTCTTCCTTACTATTGTACACTGTATTAAAATGATACGTTTTTTCTTTAATTATTTTAAGGTGAACTTACAAGAAAGCCTAGAAAATCAAGGTCCTTTTTTTGCCATTATTCATAAGATGACAGAGGTCATACTAAAAGCATCAACAGGAGATTTAGAAGCAACTTCAGCTTTAGAAAATGTTGAATCCTATATAAAGTCTCATCCAGAAGTCATCGTGGTAGACTCTCTTGATGGAGTACGTTCACTTATGGATCGTTCCCGTTACTACAGAATTGTGCAGAACAGTGATTTGGCTGAGGACAAAGTTTTTACTCCTACTTTTGTTGATTTGACCTCTACGGACCTAAAAGAAAACCTGCAGCGCTTAAATGATGCTGGTGTGACATATCCTTTCAGTAAGTTATTCATTTTAATCCTCAGGAAAAAAACCTGCCGCACTAATAGAAATTCGTCAAACAGATTTTAAATTCAAGATCAGAAAGATCCCCTATGAAGCTTAACTGTGTGTTTTGTTTGTTTCATAGTTTGCAAACCATCAGTCTCTCATGGATCAGATGCTCACCAAATGGCAATTGTCTTTAATAAAGAGGGAGTTGCCGACTGTCGACCACCATGTGTGGCACAAAGTTTTATTAATCACAACGCTGTGCTCTATAAAATATATATTGTTGGAGATGACTTTAATGTCTCAGAGCGTCCATCTCTGAAGAATTTTGCTCCATCAGGTATTTACTGTTTTCCTCAATTTTCTATCAATATTTGGATATTTCTATACTATGCGGAGCTAATGTCAAAATTATGCTTCTAGATTCCAAGACAATTTTTTTCACAACGTCTGATGTGTCTAAGGCAGATTCGCGATCCAGCTTAACTGTTCTGGACCCAGAAGACTCTGCTGTTGCACCTTCAAGTAGCCCTGATGTTCAACGCCTTCAGCACATTGTCAGTACTTTGAGAAGAGAGCTGGGAATGTTGCTTCTGGGGGTTGATGTTGTCATTGAGCATGGGTCTGGTCGTTATGGGATTATTGACATCAATGTCTTCCCAAGTGTGTATTCCTGATTCAGATTTATTTTACCAAGGCATTCTGTTTTTATGAATATTTAATCTCATTACTCTTCTGTTACAGGCTATGAAGGCTTCCCAAATTTCTTCCAAACTCTCATGAACTACATTTATGACCCTGCTTCAAAAAACTCCGGAGCCATTAAAAAGTCTAGAAGGTTGTCTGATGAAGCTGCCGAAACATCATCAGCAAGAAAGTATGAAAAATTGAATCATCTTAAAGATGACTTTTCAAATTCATCACCGTCAGCTTCTGAAAAAAATCTATTGTTAGGGGTTTCTAACAAAAAGACAAACAGCCTTGAATGTGATCAAGATGATTCTGGCTTTGATACCAGTGATTCAAGTGATGAGCGCAAGAAAAAGTGGTGCATTGCTCGTGGAAGAGGAGGGCAGAGTAGAAGGGTAGCTCAGCAGGTGGAGGGGTTTTCTATTTCTCCACTGGACTCCTCAGCAAATGTCAATGACCATTGTGTCAGAGCAGGACTTGGTGGAGTTTAACTATTAATCTATATTAATCTAGGTAAGCCTATCAAAATCTTGCTCATGATATCACATTTTGTGAAATTTGACTGAATAGTGAATGCATTGCACTGTGTGATAACATTCCCTGATTTATCTACCGTCTAATTCTATCTACATCAGTCCAAAGATCAATGACTTTTGTTTTTGATAGCCTTTGCTACTTTAACCTTTGGTCCGGATAGAAATACTTCTTCCTGCTTGTTATTGAAGCATTATTTTTTCTGTGTCAATTTTACTTTTTTACTTGTTGTGACATGAATTAGTTTAAGTTAATAATATATTTTACTGTCAACTAAAGCAGCTACTTTAAATTTTACTCAAAATTCTTTAAAGTTTCTCGTAAGAATTTAAGACACATTAAGGAACAATATTCAAACCATAACTAATTTTCTTTTAAAAAAGAGCTTTGTGTTGTGTGCTCCTTGTACATTGTGATAACTTAGAGTAGAAATTAGATGTAATATGAATATCATTCAAAAAGTTTATTATCATGGTGAATGACGGCTAACTATAAACCTGGGGGACATAACACAGATTTTATTCTTAGACTACTTTTAAAGTCATGAACAATACATACCTTTCATGAAGGGTTAAGATTTTTATGCCCTCCTATGTTTTGCAAACAAGAAAAAATGATTTTCCTGGTTAACTTTGGTCTGGTGAGGTGAGAGTTCAGTTGTTTGTTGTTGAAGAGCAGCTTGTCTTCAAAATGAATGTAGACTTTTTATTGTCCTTTGATCTAATTCATGGTCCTTTTTCTTAGTTTTTACTGACAAAGCTGTTAAGACCCTGTTACTGTAAACTGGTTCATGGTTTTATTGTGATAAGTTCTATGGCCTTTGTTCTATGTGTATAGGATGTTGTATCTGTATGACCATGTGCTAATGCATGCCTATAAGGTACAGTGTGTAAAATATATTTGTTTTTAGAGGTTTCTTGTTTATATCTTCGCTAATGCTTTTCTTTCTTTATTAATATCAATACCTAATCTGTATAATTTTGAGTTAAATAGAGTAATTAAAATTTATTTGAAAGAAGAAAGATTGTTTTGGTAGATTACATTTTGTAGGGAACCTTAAAAAAAATAGATACTGCACACAAATTGTGTAAGAGATGTAAATTCCTTTGTCCTTTCTTTTCCTGTCCATTAGTTTTCTTTTGGTGGTATTTTCTTGTATTGTCATAATATTTGGATAGCGAGGTGTGTGGAAGTGCCTTGAACCTGGCAGCCGGTTTCAAACAAGGCGTATCACATGGCATAAAAATTCAATATGGGTACTTGTTATACCTTTTCCTTGCAGAAATTTTATTATGACTTATTTCAATGTTTAATACTGTATGTCTCTGAAACTTATGAAATTATTTTTCTATTGGTTCTCTCCGATTTTGAAACAATATTATTAGGAGCGACTGCTCTGAATCTGTGATCATTGATGATTCAAGACTGTTTTATGTATGTTCCACCTCCTTGTCAGCCAGAACCGCCAGAACACTATGATAAGTTTCCATTCAATGTTTCTTGCTATTGTACATCATTATTTTTGGAGATGTTGGGATAGATATGAATTGAAGGCCTAATATTTGAAACACTTGAAAGAAAACAAAAACACATTGCTTATTTCTGTAGCTTAGATTTGATGCCAAATACATATTATAAAAATAAATATCTATGTTTGTAAGTGAGTCACGATTTGCTAATCAGTTTCATATTGTTAGTCCCATTCCAAGCTGTACATTTATGTCGCATTAGGTTTTATTCAAATTCAAATTTTAAAATTTGAAGTATTATCATAATTTATTTTTAAAACATTTCACTGGTAATGGACTTCTTTTAAAACTGAATAAATCAATGTTTCTGTTTCCACTTAACTGCTTTGTGGCATTTTTGTTCAACAAATGATGTGTTTGACCCGGTTTGACCAAAAGTCATGTGGCCTGCTGATCCCAGCTGATCCAGCCTTCTTTAAACACTGGATGGTACATCTTTGCCAGCACAACTACAATACCTACCTCAGTCAACTCAACCATAGAGGTGTAGTTGTCATCTGTTGGCATGGAACTGGCAAGTCGGGTGCTGTACATGCTGCCGGTGGAACTTGCAGAACTGTGACTGGTGAGTGGCATGAACTTTTCAAAATATAAGTCTGTACTTCCGTATTTCCTTGGAAGAGTATTTAAAACTTGTAAGTTGATAAATTTGAGCTTAGTAATAAATTATAATTCTCTCATTGATAAATTTGAGTTTAGTGATAAATTACTTGAATAAGTATCACTTGTATTTTGAACTGTGCTTTCAACCACTGTACTGTCACTCTGCTGGAATTGCAGCATTATTACTATATATGTCACAGTAGCAGACAAAACCTGTGGACAAACATGCAGTTAATAAATACTACAACATCTTTGATATGTAATAAAACTCTTCTCATTGAATGAGAACTCACTGATGTGAAGAGGGGACGCCCTATCTTGGTAAAACCGCCCAAAGTGAGCGTGGCAGGGTATGCTGCCATGCTGTGGTAAAATAAAGACACCTGGGCGAACAGTTGAGTCACATTAATGACTTCTGTACATGCGGAAATGAGAATTTATTTCGGGTCAGTGCGAGAGATCTCACCGTCTGCGCTAGGCGTGTATCATCGGTGCAGAGCCCATCCAGGACCCCGACGAACGGGCCGAACATCTAGGGGGCACGAAAGGTACATTAGGGGCAACCACACTCTCAGCAGGTCACGTGTAAAACGGGATTCCGCGTGGGACAAATTTGCACACCGCTTGGGGAATGGCAACACCTATTACGCCCCCCCCTCCCCAATCTTTTCCCGCCTGTTGGGTGTTGACCAGTGTCGCGCTCTCAAGTTTGATCACGGGTGGCGCATCGAGATAGTGGCGGATAGTGACGTATCAGGTAATGATTGAGAACCTTTTCGACCGCCATATGAGCTTCGTTCGTGATGATCCCAAGCTGCAGCAGCGAGTAGACTACAAATCCCCCTTCAAGGACCAGATTAAACATCAACTCCGTGATGCGAAAGACGTGGAACATGTACACAGCGAGGATCAGGCTGCATGCAATAAGAGGGGATTAGAGGCCGATAGCTCGCGTCATATCAGCTCACATTCTGTACTGCCTGCTGGGCGTGGACGCTGGCTGGCGTCAACGAACCTCAAGAGCAGGTGCAGCAGCTGGAACACATCCACGAACCGGTAGCTCACGTCGTTGTACAGGGCTCGTAGTGACACCCATAGGCGTCGCGTGTTTTGCACCGTCAAGTTCACCTGGCTGACGCTGACGTCTGATCTCACCGTCGCCTGTCAGAATGTTTGTGCTAATTTTAATCTAACAACATATCGATTTGATTTTGTTCAATTAGTAGAGTTTCGTATGTTTTTAAAGGTGTTTCTGACCTCACAGCTTTGTTGAGAATGAGAAGTTTGGAAAGGATAAACTTGAGTTAAACTTTGGAAATCTTTTTTTGGAAAGATGAGGACTAAGTTACCGGTTTTCCGAGAATATTTTCTGAATAAGCCCCTGCTGTCTAGGCAACACCATGTAGGCCTGACGGCGCGAGAGCACTGATAAACTAAGTGTTCAACTGCTCAACACTTCAAAGTGTGCAACTGCAAGTTAAATACTTGCAAGTGTGCAACTGCCAGTTTAATACTTGCAAGTGTGC